ATCACTTTCAGAGTCATCTGGACTTTCAGGATCAGGTGACTCATCATCATCATCATCTCCAGCCACATCACCTTCTCCATCATGATCTTCTACCTAAAAACATCAACCAATGGGCTGTTTCTTTTTGTAAATACAATCACCTATTACAAAAATAGGAAAAGACTCTAATTTTTGTCACAGAGTTTTAAATACAGTTCACTTACTAGCCATTAAATCAATGGTTTTAAAACTGGATCTGACCAGAAGCTGTGGAGGGATAAAACAAGGACTGAGCAATCAGGCATCTCCACACTCATCTGTTGTACATGTTGGGCCTTGAGTAGGATTTTGTTTTAAGAAAGATCTGAGGACCATTCACAAGCCTCCCTCCTCCCCCTCATATGAAAACCTCTGTGTTATATCTTCTTGTAAAAAAACAATTTTTTTTTACGTGAATAAGGCAAATTAACCATTCAGTTTCATGTGGAAAACAGTTACCAGTGTTTTGCATATTACTTTGCTGTAATTAACCAGTAGTTTCACATTAATTCATACTATGAAAAGAGGTCACTAAGGAAACTGAGAAGGAGTTCTCCTACACCAATATTTTAAACTTACATGAAATATTTAACCTAACTTGTGGGCATGCTTATTAAGGATGGGCCCTAATAATTATGTAAGTCAAATTTACATTAAGCTAGTATCAGAAAATATATTTATAAAACCCTAAAAATATCTCTTCAGATTATCTATGGAGAACCAGATGAACATATAAAAATATTTTAAAATAACTGTATAAAGAAAGCATTCTACATAGGATTCTTGATGGCTAGGGTAATCTGACAGTCAAGTGGTAATAAATGATATCAAACTGAAAACTGATTATCGTCCCAATCAATTAAAATAAGTTAATTACTACCTCACTGAAGCCAAGTCCACAATGTCGTCGATATCTTCCTGATAATTTACTGTCCATGCTTTGCTGATATTGAGACTCCAGTTCTTCATTAATTTTTTTGTCTTCTTCCCCTGCATGTCCAGTGTACTTTGGTTATGTTTCAGTCAAATTAATAAAAACATTTGATTATACAAAAAAAAAAAAAAAAAAAAACCCGTAATACAGATGCTATTATATTCAGGGCTGATTTCTTTAGCTGTAACTAATTTTACAATAAATTTTGTGGACAAGTTTCTACATCCCAGGCAGTTACCTAACGGACAATAATTGAAGGATGTATTTATGACTGTTTCTTTGGTAACTAACACTCTGAACTACAAATGTGTTTATATAAAAGATGAAGAACTTGTATTTTTCTATCTGACAATCTAAACCACACAAGAGTCTTGGAAAGAGCTGCCTGAAGTTCAAATTAATTTAATTAAGTAATGAAGCATTAACTACTAAGAGTTTTGGGTATTAAATAGTTTAGCTTCTTTATAGTATAATAAATGACTGTTCTCCTAAAAGTGGAAGTTTTCTCCTGGTTACTTAAAAAAACCTCCAATAAACAAAAGCTTCTGTCTGAATAGAAACAGTGAAGGCAGGCAATTCTGTTCAGAAAAGAACTAAATGACTTTGTAACAGCTCTCCTTTATGCCTTTCTTTGCTTATCAGCTTACCAAAAGAACATAAATTTACTTAGTTTAAAATTTTTATTTACTGTACTATGCAACATTTGATATTTTATACATATATTGTGTTGTAAGTTATGAAGCAGAACACTAAACACCTATAAATCTATCACTTAAGAACTAGAACATTACCAATCCCATTGACATTTCCTGTGTATGACATTTTAATTCATACATATAAGAGGAATTTCACTTTTTAATCAGAAATGGTGGTGCTGTGCATGATTTTTATTCATAAAGCTTCCAATTTTAAAAGAATAAACGCAGCAGTTAAATATTTTTCCATTCTGCAAAGCTCAGGGACGCTTTGTCAATGCACATCAATTTTAAGTAATGGTTTTAATGCCAGAAAAATAAAAACTATTAATTTTGAAAATGTGCTACATATTCTAATCAGTAATAAAGTCAATTTAAGTAATTAAAAGTTCTGTTAAATACAATCTAGGTCATTATGCCACACTCTGTTATTAATAATGCCCACAGTTAGGGTCAATTTTAAATAGGAGAAAATTTCACTTTTTAGCTGACTGAATTCAAATCTAAATTCATTTCCAGTTTTTATATAAAAATTTTTTCCCATAAAAAATTTCTTCAGGCTTTGCAACTAGCTTATATTCTTCAAAAATTTCAGAACAAAACTTAATGACTAAACTCAAAAACAATCATAATATGCCAACTGTTAAGTTTTAGCAACTATGTTAATATTAAAATAATTAAAAAAATAATATAAACTACACCTATCATAGTTGGCAAGATGAGCCACAAAACATCATTACAATTACATGTTCTGAGTCAGTAAAAATGAAGACAGGAGGTTAGCTTCTTGGTTAGAAGATCATATTGACACGTACTCTCCAATCTTTTTAATCAAAGTACATACTAATCTTTACGTGACACATATGTAACATTTTTACGATATATACCTTTCCAATTCTAATGTTTTAATCATTAACACAATTACAGAAGTGAGAATATCTCTAAATAACTACAAATATTTCACTTCAAAGTTAGCACCTTTACTATGATTATATTTTACTTTCTCACCTGTTCGGAAGTGAGATGTTGATTTGTGATCTCCTATAACAAGACGACCGGTATGTTCTTTCTATAAAAAGATGGAAAATGTATTAGAATTTAACATAATTACTTAGTGTCTATTATATGCCTCACTCTATTCCGGGCCTTTGGATACAGTGAAAAGGACTAAATTTAAGAGCCCTGTCTTTATGGAGGTGGGGGTGGGGAGGAGAGACAAACAATAAATGTAATTAAGTAAGTATATCATTAGTATGTTATGAGGTACTAAGTGCCATTTAAAAAAGAAAGAAAGAAAACAGAGCAGGGAAAGAAGGTTAGAAAAAGTGCAAAGTGAGAATAGGGATCAGGCTGGAATTTTAAATGGAATGGATCATCAGGGTAGATGGGAACATATTTGTGTAAGGACACAGGGCTTAGTCATACAGATACTGACTAGGGAGAAAAGTATTCCAGATACACGGAATAGCACTGCACTAAGGCAGTGGTTCTCAAAATGTAGTCCCTAAACCAGCAGTACCATCAATCACTTGGGAACTTGTTACTAATGCAACTTCTCTGTCTCCAACATCTCCCACCCCATCTACTAAACCAGAAACTTAGGAATGGAGCCCTGTGTATTTTAACAGGCCCTCCAGGCAATTCTGATGCACACTAAAGTTTGAGAACCAATGCCCACACGAGTTTATCAGGGAGTGTTCAAGCCAGTGTGCTAGATGCAGAGAGTAGTGGTAGATGGGTGTGTGTGTCTGCGTGTATGCGCATACACGCACTGTCATCTAGCCGAATACGTCATTCACATATATTCATTCTATGTGGATTAAATCTTGTGTTTAGGTTTATATTTAAGGTTTCAAATATTATAAAATCTTGGTTAATCAGAATTCTGAAACACTAGCCATGATCACAGAAGCTACAGAAAGTAGGCAAAAGTTAACTCTTGCCCCCCAAACCCAAAGATCTACCTATACTTAAAATCTATTAGATCAAATATAAGTAGGTTTTTTTCTTTACCTGAAAGGTAAATACACAAGTATTTGTTTTATCATTTTTTTTTTTAAACACATCAAATGTTTTTTAAAGTATCTATTTCAGTACTACAATGTTCAGTAACAACAACAAAGAAAAAATAAGTAGGAAACCTACAATGAACAGGCCAATTTGACCCACCAAAAATAACTGCTTGTTATTAAAGGAATCTATGTGCAGGACTAAAGGAAAAACTTATCCTCCAGTCCAATTTTATTTGCTAACTAAAAAGATGCAGAAACAAATTTGGGTTTACATTTTTATCAAATTTACTTTACAAAATCATTCTTAACAGTTATTTAAAATATTCTATTCTTTAAATCTTTAAAAAACTCCAATTATGGAGCTCACAAAAAGCATTTTGGGACGTCTTAAGGACAGTCATTATGTTCCTCCTGAAGTACTTAATTTCACAATTTTTCAGAGAGAATTTTAATTCTGAATATTTTCCCTGAAGCTTCCTTCAAAGTGGGCTTACCACATAAGGTATACAGTTTGGTAACTAGACTGAAGACTAATGTAGGAAGTATATTCTAAATGTGTGAACTATGAAGTCAACCAATTCATTCAACAAATACGTAAACCTATTATATACTACTAAGTACTATGCTAACATTATTGGTATATATTTGAAAGAGAAGCGCATATTATGCCCTACGTGTTCTTATGCTGGACAATTTTAGTACACAAAAAAAGCTCTCAGGTAACTAGCAAATTGAGTCAATCTAAATATTTTCTTTCCAAAAGCCCAGTTAAACGAGTTGCTTTAACTTTTTCACCTTCCCTTTCTGATGCCTCTGGCCTATCTCATGGAGAGACTGCAAATGAAATTATTTAGATACAAATATACAACATAATAATCTTTAAAATATAAGAAAAAAAATCACTATTTACAATATATCACAAATAGCTAGTTCATTATTATTTGACTCCAATAAACTCCCAACCTCAAACTTTCAAAAAGAACAGAGTTTAAAATAATAATATGAAACATAAAAATAAATCTATTCAAAGTCATCAACTGATGAGGCTACGTAATTACTCAGTTTATCAGTTCCTCTATCCACTCTTCATGATTCACATTTGTTTTCATAAGGTAAAGAAACAGTTCACTAAAACATAAGAGTGATGGTGAGATTAGATGTGACTTTACAAAACAACCTTAACCAATCATCTGTGAAGATACCGTAAGTAGCAAGTATTCCTACTGTGAAATAATGGCAAGCAAATTCTCCTTACACAGACATTACTGAAAAACTTCAAGCACTGATGCTTACTGTCTTACATGCTGTTAATACATAAGCAAATTAATTATTCAATGTGCTGCTTCTTCAGACTGCAGAACAGATATCCCATTAACAAGATTTACAAATATATATATAATAGCATCAAGTTATTCTAGGATGATGATGATATTGCACTGTCTATGCTCTCCTAGCTGGTTCTCCCTGTGACCACTAAAATATTCATGGTGGCTGGCTAGGATGAGTAATATGCTTATTCTGGCTACAAAACAGAATAAATTTAAATAGTCCACTTGAAGATCAAAGCTATAACCTTGGCTTTGCTCACAAATTTAACGTATGCTAAACAGGATTATCACTGGTAACCAAACTTCTACATTTTAAGTTAGGATGCTCTTCCTATATTTGTTTGAAGAGTTTTCATTCTACTAGGTTGAGCATATCCCCTCAACTATTACTTTATATATCCTTAGCAAATTCTTTATTTGCATAGAACCAAGAGAAACTTCAGACTAGTATTTTCTATGACAAATCACAAATTATAAATTGAGAAATCTGAATTAGTGAGATAAGAATACTTCCTCTGTATGGGTCTTAATGTTTTACATGACCTCTCCCCACCCCTACCGGCTAACTCTTCCTCTTTTCAGAATCCAAGCAATTCCATTTCTGGGAATCTTTCTTACACAGCTAAGCCAGAGTCAGATGTCCCTTTTCTGTGATTCCATAGCACTATGACATAGACTATATGCACGGCTCTTCCACAGCAATTATAATTCTGTATCATTACTATATGATTGCCTCCGTTACATGATGGCTCCAAATGTGTTATTGATCTATGTGACCACAGGACCTAGAACAGTGGCTGGCGTGTATTAGTTAATATTGCTGGTACAATACATGAATGCATTCCCATGTGTATAACAAAAATGAAGGGCAGAATTTCATTTTAAGGATTTTAAAAGAGAAAAAAAGCTTTCCATTTCATCCAAATTTGGTCTGTAGGAAGACTACTGGAATAATGTTAGGAAACTGGCTTTACTTACTTATAAAAAAATTAATGTTTAGAAACCACCATATTTGCATTTAAAAATGAATTGCTAGGAATAAGAAAGTTTGTTTCAATAGGCAGTGTTTTTCTGGCACCTCTATTTTATACCTTCTACTACATAAATACATTAATCAAACTGAGACACATTTTAAAATACATTAAAAATATTTTAATTAGGTTTTTGATAAAGGATATTCCCTTAGCTACTACTTCAACGGCTAGAAAACCCAAAAAACCCACTGCTGTCGAGTAGATTCTGACTCATAGTGACCCTTTAGGACAGAGTAGAACTGCCCCATAGGGTTTCCAAGGAGCACCTGGTAGGTTCGAACTGCCTACCTTTTGGTTAGCAGCTGTAAGGATCTATAAAATATGACAGACCTACCAACTGGCTTTGGACAGAGATCTCTGTTCCTATAGAGTAACTTGTGTAAAAATATCTTCTACCAGAAAGAGTATAAATTTTACGTACTAGGTTAGGGCTGTAAAATTTCCCAAAGTCAAAAGTAATCATGCAGAACAGGAAAACGGGATCTAAGTGTATTCAGTCCTTACTTAACACACATGAAAACAGGCATTTTCACAGAAAAGATAAAGATGTATACTATCTGATGCTTACCTTTCCTGCTCCCATAAGTCTCAAAAACTTCTGTTTTCTCTCTTCATTACCTAAGTCTGCTGCCTCCCAATTGCTAGATCCAAGCTGGAAAAGAAATTAGCCAGATTAAATTTTTGTACATAACAACAAGTTAAAAAATTTAAAGTGTACCCTGTAACTTCAAGTTCTTCGTTCTTTTGTCAGTTTTATCTAGAAACAGGGTCACTGTTCTTGCTTAGGAACTTAAACATGCATTATATTCAGATTAAAATATACTCCTTTTCTACTACCTCAAAGCAGAATCCTTTAGCTCTTTGCAGTCAGAGCTGTGGTTCTGCAACATATGATTGCCTGACAATCACCTAGAGGGCTTATTAGAACAGATTGCTGGGCTCTACCCCCAGGGTTTCTGATTCAGTGGGTCTGGATTTCTAAAATTCCCATGTGGTGATGCTGCTGCTGATGTGGGGACCACACTTTGAGAACCACTGCCCTCGAGTCTTGCAGGAGCCTAAAGCACCGGTATTCTGAACCCCGAAGCCTGCATAGTTGTTAGGTGAAGTTAAAAATTCTGATTTTAGCGACATTCTAAACCAGTTGCCATTGCTGATTCCAACTCATGGTGACTCCATGTGTGTCAGATTAGAACTGTGCTCCATAGGGTTTTCAATGGCTAATTTTTTAGGAATAGATCACCAGGCCTTTCTTCTGAGGTGCCTTTGGGTGACTAGAACCTCCAACCTTTCAATTAACAGCTGAGCACATCAACCGTTTGCACCACTCAGGGATGCCAGTGATATTCTAAGGGACAGTATACCAGCAAGGTCCACTGGACCAATTTTAGTTTTTGAGTTTCTTTTTTAAGTGGTTTTAATTATTTGTAAGGATTGGTATGTCATGAATTTTACTCGCTCTCAGAGGTCTTCCAAAGAACAAAGAGAAAATTTATTTATTTTTTTTACAAGGACAGAATAAAATTCATTCTATCTTGCAATTATCAAATGGGTCCACTGGAGCCTTTTATAAATCTAAGAAATATTATGGAATCTCAGTGATATTTCTCCCTACAGGTTGAAACAAATGTAAGAATTATTTTATTATAATTCATCAATTGTTCCCAATTAGGTTAAAAACTAAAGTTAAAAAAAATTAGAGTGGAAGAATATTATTCTGTTGCCCAAAGTATTCATCATCAACTTTCAGAAAGACACTATGTTATCTATTGTCTGCTTTTAGCTTTCAATACAGTTAAAAATTCAAAATTTTTCCTTTTCCACCCATAACGGAAAAAGAGAAGAAAACTGGCGAAGGAAGGCATTTCACAATTACCACATGAATCACAAGGTAAATGCAAAATGACAGACAGTAGCACTCTATACTAATGATGATGGTGAAATTATATAAGCAAAAATCTCAGACTATGAGTCCGAGCAGTGAAGTACTAGATGACCTTTCTCCAACTCAACAATCGACGAGAGACAAAAAAGAGGACAAAAAAAATATGATACTTTCATTCAGCAAGTCATTCAACAGAAAGGATTTCACCTTGCAGTATTCTGCAACAAGTGCCTGGACCATCTTGTTTTTCTAAAAAAGAGCCTCGACTACCCTGTTTTATTTAATCTTTTATGTTTGTACCACAAAATTTACTTGATATGATTCATAAGTCGACAAATGCTAAGGGCAGGCCTGTACACAAAGGTGACTGGAAGGAAATAGATGATGTGGAAATGAAAACATTCACTGAAAATTCTGAGTTTACAATCTAAGAATGAAAATGTTTTGCAGTTATGGAGCAAAGATGACAACTCCCTCTTTGACACAAAATTATGAGCAATCATAAGTTCAAAAAATCTTCAAATATTATGTTTTGATGATGCAAATGCAGGAACCAGAAGTAATGCTAAGCTAAAACCTTTTAAAAATGGATTTGAAATCTGAAATTACATGTTCTAGGTTCACACGTGACAGCTGATGAGCAGTTAGTTGTATTTAGAGGATAGTGCCTATTTTGGGTATATATATTCCATTAAAATCAGGAAAACGAGGAATAGAAATTTGGGTTTGCTATGGTTAAATTCACAAGATAATTTCTAATAAAGTTGGTTTTTGCCATCCCTTTATTCTTACTTCTGAAAATTATTTGTAAAAGACTAAAAAAATAATGACTATTTTTTCTGGTTAGGAGTCCCTGGGTGGTGCAAATAGTCAAGCACTGGACTTCTAACCAAAAAATCGGTGGTTCAAACTCACCCAAACCCAAAAACTCATTGCCTTGAGTTGATTCGAACTCACAGAGACCCAGAGGCACCTTAAAAGTAAGGCCTAGCAATCTGCTTCCAAGGTCACAGCCTTGAAAACGCTATCGAGCAGCTCTACTCTGCACACATGGAGCCCTGGTGGTGTACTGGTTAAGAGCTTGGCTGCTAACCAAAAGGCTGGCAGTTCAAATCTACCAGCTGCTCCTTGTAAACCCTATGGGGCAGTTCTGCCCTACAGGGTTGCTATGAGTTGGAACTGACTTGATGGCAACTAACACGTGGGGATGAGCTGGAATCACTCAATGACAACAGCAAACGTTTTCTCTGAGTATATGTGTTAAATAAAGCATTTGTACCATATAGAACCCACTTTTGGTTCTTCTAAATTCCTTTGGGGAGGAGGGAACTCATATGCTTTCATGATTTTGACTATGTTAAGTTCCAAATCTCTACCTCTTTCCATCAGACTCTGCTCATATCTTTTTACAGATCGTTTAGTTAAGTATTTCTGGCTCAATACAGGAAAAAAAAAAAAGTAGTCAAACTTCACCTGTGGTCTGGTTCTCACTAAATCACCTGCTCTGTGAGCCTGGAACTGTCACTTAACTTCTTAGTTTTAATTACTTATCTATGTAGAAAAACCCAAACCAAACCCGTTGCCGTCAAGTCGATTCTGACTCATAGTGACCCTTCAGGACAGAGTAGAACTGCCCCATAGGGCTTCCAAGGAGCGCCTGGTGGATTCGAACTGCCAACCTTTTAGTTAGCAGCTGTAGCTCTTAATCATTATGCCATCAGGGTTTCCTATCTATGTAGAAAGGCTTAAGAATAATAATAACACCTATCAGTTGCACAAGGAGCCCTGGTGATGCAACGGTTAAGTGCTTGGCAGCTAAAGGAAAGGCTGACAGTTTGAACCTTCCGTGAGAGAAAAGACCTGGCGATCTGCTACGGTAAAGACTGCAGCCTAGGAAACCCTATGGAGCAGTTCTACTCTTTGGGTGGTGCAATGATTAAAGCACTCAGCTGCCAACCAAAAGGCCGAGGTTCAAACTCAGCAGCCACTCTGCAGGAGAAAATACCTGGCAATTTGCTCCCATAAAGATTACAGCCCAGGGAACCTTATGGGGCAGTTATACTCTGTCCTACAGGGTCACTATGAGTCGGAATTGACTCAACTGCACACAACAACATCTGCTGCACAGTATTTTACAACTTACAAATTACTTTTCACTTACATTCTTTCAAGAAGCTCTTCCAATAGTCTATTTAACAAATAAGGACACTGACAGAGTGACTTGCCTAGATCCTCTGGACTTAAGTCCTGTACTCTTTTCACACGATCAAATGAAATAGAGTATGTGAAAGTATCTACAAACTATGGTTTAAAAAATGTATATAATCAAAAACAAAACAGACTAAAATCCAAAACTTTCCCCAAACTCTATTTCTATTAAAAGAACAAACATCCTTGATGTCTTTACATAAACAACCCTATCATCTACAATTTCAAATCTTAATGTTTTCTTCAATCATTAAGTGCTTCTGGTTCTTCTTTCGAAAGATCTTAGAGTACTACAGCAAGTATCCTGCCCAAGTGCTGCATTCTGAAAAGCACATGGGTGCCTGGTAAATTCTTAGAGGGCTCTCCACCAGTTGCTAAAATTAATCTCCCCACTCCTTAAAAAAAACAAAAACAAAAACACAAACTTTAATTTCTCCACTCTAATCAAACCAATGAAACAATTTTTAAGGGCTGTGGTGGTTCAGTGTTAGAATTCTCGCCTTCCATGAAGGATACTCAGGTTCACTTCCTGGCCAATGCACCTGATCATGCAGAGCCACCAAACATCTGTTAGTGGAGGCTTGGGTGTTGTTATGATGCTGAACAGTTTTTAGTGGAGCTTCCAGACTAAGACGGAGTAGGTGTTCTACTTCCAAAAATCAGCCAATGAAAACCCTAGGATCACAACAGTCAGACTGGCAACAGATCTTGGGAATGGCACAGGATAGGGCAGCATTTTATTCAATTGCGCATGGAGTCGCCATGAGCTGGAGACCGACTCACAGCAGCTAAAAACATTCTTATACCCTTTACTTGAAATATACCGTAGTTAACTCTTACTTAAAATTTACTTACACGTGGTCAGCATTTTCCTAGAGTTCTATTCTGTGATTCAATCTCTACTTTTAATAGCTTTTTAAAATATTTTGTTACCCTCAATTAACTTATAAGGTTGGCAAAGAAAACTTCAATTATCTTTTACATGCAGTGGATGCTCACTAGAAACTGCTGACCAACTACTTATTATAATTAGTTGATTTTCTTCAATTTAGATTTATACTTTTAAAATCATTCAAAATATTTTTATATATTATTATTTTGAAAATAGTTTTAAAAGACAAGTAGTACTTAAAGATAATCCCCAATTACCAGTAAAGTAATAAAAATTCATGACAAGAAACTGAGCAAAAAATCATTATCAGGGGACAAGTTACTGTATTGCACTGTAACATTAGCAACATAATCATTTTTAGATAATGTTTGAAGGTGTTAGACCCTAATCTTGAATTGAAACTATAACTATATCCTTCAAAAAGAATATGATTTTGGGATTGGAAAAAGTCTTAAAAGTCATCTATTTAAACTGATCCCATTAGAACCTGTAGAGACTTAATGCCTTAATCTCTTTAACTTTGTTAAATTATATAATAGCACTTGGAGTTTTCTGTTTAAAAGCTTGAGTCTAGCAAAACAGGTGTCTGATATGCTAGCAATCAAGTCACAGTTAACAATTACCAGGAGGAAAACAATGTAATAGCTTCCAAAATGGCAGCCAGGTTACTCAAAAAACCTAGATAAACTCCTAATAAGTACTAAATTATGTGAAAAGGTCTAATAGGTAGTAAGCCAGTAGCAGAGAGAAACAGGGCTCACTGAATAAACCTCACTGGATACCCATTCATTCCCCAAATCTTTATTGATTACTAATCTTCCTGAGGAGCTAAATCAATTTCCTTAAAGACTCCTACTGTTCCGATCCTCACCCTGCCTTCCACCCAAAGAAGGGTGGGTGGGTCTTAACACCATCTCATTTGATACAACTGATGGCACTACTATTATTCAGTAAGTTTTTCTGCAGTTCACATAAAATATTGAGAGGTACTGAATTACTTTATAGAAAACAAAGACCTCTAAACATTCAGATACCGACAGTCCTTTCAACAATAACAGAAAAAAAACTAGATGTCACCTCTTCATCATCCTTAAACATGGCCTCCTGTGAAGCCTTCCTTAGCTCCACTTCTTCTCTCCCCCCTCAAAAGTTTACCCATCAACGTATCTATGGCATTTTTTGTATAAAGGACCTAGTTTTACGTTTACTAGTTACCTGCAGTTTCCATGACACTGCGCTAGAAGCTAGGTCGAATATACAAGACGGCCTAAGATAAGCACTATATTTACTCATCTTTGAATCCTCAACACCTGGCACGGCAATAAATATTTAATAAATTAAGGAATGAATGGTTTGCTATTTAAATTGACAAGCTGGGGACTGGTGGCGAGGAAAGCGAGAATGAGGTAGGTATGTGACATCAAAATGGGCTTCTAGGTTTCACCGCCTTAGATCTCATCACCATACAACACTACGAAATTAAACCTCGGGCACAATTTTTGGTTCAATACTGTTCTCGGTTTACTCCTCACAGTAAACTGTTAACAATATATCGCAAAAACAATCCTGGCCGGTAGATGTGCCCCAATTCGCACGAACATCTCGACACTGCCAAAGGAGCATTTTAATGCTAAAATGGGGAGGCTCTTGCCGTTTTTATCTTGACTAGAAAGGCCTCAAAACAAAGCTTTATCAGCCTTCAAATACGCAAACATAAGGATCCCTTGACTAAGCTCTTTCACTGGATTTCTTCAACACCCCCCCCACCCCCACCCCTTCCTACGCAGGTCTCTGACTCTCGGCATGTAGACTTCTCCAAACCTTCCGACTCTAACTAAAGGAGGGAGTCATTTCTCAGTCTTCCGTTCGGTTCCACCCCGTCAGCGCTCCCCTCTCAGGCCACCTCAGGCGCTTCCTCCATCATCCACCCCTCCCGGCCTACCCCAGCCTTTTGTAGGCCTCAACCCTCATCCACTCCGCCATTGTTATTTACATCGTCGTCTGGGGAGGCTGAACGCTTCACCCCGTGCGGGTGGGACTCCCTGGCAGCACTCATCGTTGTGGAGATCCAGTTAGGAAATACCGAACCCCCTCGCCGTTCTCCTCAGCCGTGGATCCAGCACCCTGCAATCTACCACCGGCCAAGCAGCGCCTCTCCCGAACGCAAAGCCCCTCCGGGCCTTCTTGATCAAAGACGTCACGGCCGCGGCCGTTCGCCGCCTCGGAGCACTCTGGGAGTTATAGTTTTCTATCTCACTCCACACCCGCCTGAAAAAGGGTGATGCATGGGTAACTGAAACTACAACTCTCAGGAAGCCCAGCGACGCAGGTCGCGCAGTGCGAGCGGGAGTGCCCGCTCAAGCTCCGCCTTCTTCGGCTGGCGGAGAGAGGTTTCCCGCGGATGGGTATAGCGGTGAAACGTTGACGCAAAGGTTCGTCGCCGCTGAAGGAGACTTACGTGGGTTTTCACATTTCACCGTGAGACGCTGCGCCATTGGCAAATGCATCTGTTGTAATTAAGCACCTAGGTTTAAATGTAGTGTTATTTGAGGCTTATTGAAATCCTCAGAGTGTCCTTACCTCAGGACAAAAACCTTAAAAAAAAAAAAAAATGGCTTCCACCGTTCCCTAGTGTTAGCTCTCTGTTCTAGCAGGGGATTTCTAAGTGACTGGCGGTGCTGCTTTCTAAAAGATTCTGACGAATCTTTCATTTCTTTCTCAGTTACCTAAGCCAAAGTCCATCTGAGGGCATTCTGTAGACTTTCCACACGGCTTTCTGTGAGGTGGGAGTGATCCTCTACGACTTCGCTGCTGATCTGTAGGCACAGTATCTGGGCTTTCACCAAGTGAAAGTTCATCTCTGCCAGAAACCGCTGTATCTCTTTTCTTTTTAATTTTTTTGTTGAGGTGAAATCACAAAATTAACCATTTTAAAATCTTTCAATTCAGAGGCATTTAGGACATTCCCAATGTTGTGCAGTATCTCTATCTAGTTCGAAGACAATTTCATCACCCCAAAAGGAAACTCCGTGCTTAATCATTAAGTAGTACGGTCCCATTACCCCTTCCTCTATCCGCTGGTTACCACTAGTCTACTCAGAAAGCCCTGTATCTTCCTGCAGTATGCTGTATCAGGATGTCTGAATTTTTAACCAGGCCTGAACTTGGCTGTCTTCAGCTATGTAAAACATACTGGCAGGAGCCTTGTCCTTACTTATTCTGAAGCTTTCTGACCTTGATCAAAGGTTGGATTTATTAATTTTTTAATTAATTTTAAAGCGAAGATCTGTAAATGGTATGACAGCACAGATGCCAGTGTGAATTTGGGTACTGAGAGCTGTCTGTGAAACTATGCTTAAGTAACTAGCCTTTGAATTCGGTAATTTCTCCAGTTTGACTGTCTGTGTAGAAATATTATTTCCTAGACTTCAGATGTTCCCTGAACCGTTAATAGCACTGTGACCAGTGGATGACAGATTTTTAATTTTTGCAGTCATATATCCAAATTCTCCTTTCTTTTGGAAGCCGAGGAATACCATAATAATAGCATCGGGATAATACAAAAAAAAAAAAAAGATTTTGAATTGAGTTATATTTCATAAGTATAGCCAAGCAAAGGGCACCTTAATCTATTATTTCTGTGGTCAAAAATTGTAAATCATGTCAGAGGAGTAAACTCACGTTGAGAGAAAGCACTTTGTGGAAGTAATTGCTTGCTATTTGCTGTGAATTAAAATATTTTGCCTACTTACACCATGATTCTGCTAAGATTCTGTAAATATAATCACAGTGAAATGACATCTAAGTTATAGAGTTTTCTAGGATAGACTGCAGTTCACCTCCAGTGGATCTGACAAATTTTAATATATACAATTTATAACTCTTAGCTATATAACCAATAAACAAATGGGATGGCTGAAAGGTAGTTTAGACTGCGAATAGAATTCTGAAATAAAAACAACTATCAGCAGGGTTGGGTAGTTACTAAATACTTCTAAGTATACTAACTGGTGAAAATCCAGAGAAGTGTGATGAGCTAGGACATGTCTTTTATTTCTTCACCAGAATTGTTGGCACCTGGATGGCTAAATCTTCAAGCTATCATAAAACAAGATCACAAGCCAAAAAGTAACATAGGAAATAACAGAGACTGGATCATTTTATCAGATTTTACTCAGTTTCATATACAGAAGCCTATAGGTAAGGATGAAATTATACAGTGTAATAGAGTGGTAATGCATATATGGCACAAAAATCCAGTAATGCTCTTCTTCCTTGTGTTATAAAAACAAGAAGATACTCTGTTAGAAGTGGAGCTTTGAAATACTTCATCTCTACTTTTTGTTTCTGTAGCTTCTAGCACAGTGCCTGACACAAAGTAGTCAATAAGTGTTTTTGAATTTATATAGAAAGGATGAAATTATATAGTGTAACAAAGTAGCATCTCATATGAGGCCCAGAAACTCAGCAATGACCTTCTTTTTTGGGTAGTAAAGACAAGGAGTGGAGAGTCTGTCACTAACAGCACTTTTAAATACTTCCCTGTGGCTAGGGACCATGCCTTCCTAATTTTTTATATACCCAATGCTTAGCACATAGTAAGCAGTCATAAATGTTTAGTACATACATTTATATTTCAATCAACTCATGACTGAGCATAGTTATAGGATACTCATAACTGAACATAGTTCAGTTAACAAACATAAAGAGCAAATAAAAAGTCCAAAGAATGTGCTCTGTACAGAAAATCTGCTGCTGTTTTACATGAGACTAAATAAAAATTCCTAGATCAATAATTGGAGCTCTGGTGGTGCAGTGGTTAAGAGCTCAGCTGCTAACCAAAAGGTCAGCAGTTTGAGTCTACCAGCTGCAATTTGGAACCCTATGGGGTGGTTCTACTCTGTCTTATAGGGTTGCTTGGAGTTGAAATCGACTTGACGGCAATGGGTAGACCAATAATCATAACTATCATTTACTGAATACCCACTGTGCACCATATACTTTGCTAGGCACTTTTTATAATTGATCTCAAAGCCTCACAACAGTTTGCAAGAGTGTTAGGTGAGTATATACATACTAAAGCTTAAGAAAAGTTAAATAACATGCCCAAAATCATATAGCTATTGAGTAACTAAGCTGGGATTTAATACTTACATCTGTCCAACTCCAGAAGCTACACTCTCCACTGTGCCAGTATAGCAAAATTTATATAGGGTGCTAAGTATATGTTAGGCAGTGTGCTAAATTTGAGGAGATCAGAATGAATAATATATAATCCTTTACCTCAAGGAATTTACAGCTTGGTGGGGAAGGAATGATTAAGTGGCATGAGTAAATTATAAATAAAACGCTATGGGAGCACAGAATGGGGGGTGGGGTAGGGGGAGTGCATGCATTCAGGGAATGATTAATGTCCAGGGTGACTGTGAAACCTGACAAGCATGAAGTATTGTAGCGTGAGACAAAACTGTAGGTTGATCAAAGCCAGGCTGTGAAAAGCCTTGAGTTTGAATCTCTCACTGCACGTGTTCAGTTCAAATAATCTCTTTCAGTCCTCTAATGTTTCCCCCAGTTAAATCCACTTTACACATCAGCTTTTGAAAAAGGAGTGTAGAAACTTTCCTGCTCAAAAACTTCCTAGAACTTTCCATTTTATACAGAATTAAGTCAGTATAATTTAAGGTCTCCTATATTCTGACCTTAATCCATTGATACCAGTCTTATTTTCTACTCCTACTCTTTACTTATCTTGATTACTTTGCCACCACTAGTTACAACAAAAATATGATATATGCTAAAGTAGAGGTATGAGCAAAGATACAAGTCTTGCTGACTATTTTAGAATGTAAGCTTCTTTTGGGTAGGATCTAAGCTTTGCACTATGACTTGTATATGAACCATCTTTCAATAAATTGTTGTTGTATTAATATACGAATGCATAAGAGCAGAGAGGAGCAGATTTCTGTGGTAAGATCATAAGTTTTAAAGTAAATGTTGAATTTAAAGAATTAGTGGGACACTAAGTGGAGCTGTATAGTAAGTAGTTAGAAATACGGGCTTCAGAGTTAGGAGAGAGCTATAAACTTGGAAATGATCCATCTAGAGATGATAGATCAAGCTAGGAGTATAGTTGAGCTCACCGATGGAGCATGCAGAAGAGAGGTACTTGGGGGAAGAAAAGAACATTTAAGGGTAGAATGAGGATGAAGATCCTGAGATTAGAAAATAGATGTAGAAGTAGAACAAGCAGTTTAGTGTGACTGAAGCCAAGGGAAAAGATTTGAAGAATGCATTTTTCAACTGTGGCAGACTAAGAGATGAAACCCATCTTGAAGCTGATTTTAAAGGCATAATGTAAATGGAACTGTAGGGCCTGCACAAAAACCTGAAGACAAATATCTTAATTATCTAGTGCTGCTATAACAAATACCACAAGTGGGTGGCTTTAAAGAACAGAGATTTATTTTCTTACAGTTTAGGAGGCTAGAAGTCTGAATTCAAGGCGCTGACTCTAGGGGAAGGCTATCTTCCTCTGTCAGCTCTGGGGGAAGGTCCTTGTTCCTTGTAGCCTTAGTGATCTTCATGTGGCTTGGCATCTATCTTCCCCCATCTCTGCTTGCTTACTTGTCCTAATCTCCCCTTTTTATATCACAAAGGTGATTGGTTTAAAATACTCCCTACACTGATGTGGCCTCTTAACATAAAGAAAACCTATACCGAAATGGGATTATAACCACACATACAGAGGTTAGGATTTACAACACATATTTTTTTGGGGATACAATTCAATCGATAAAAACAAGGTATAAATAACTAAATGTTTGTGGTTGATGATGGTTGATTATGAGGAGATGAATTTCTGTCCTGTCCATTGAGCATGCAGATTTAACAGAGCGCTTCTGTGATTTAAAATGTGGTAACATAAATATTGGCTTGATGGTTTCACATATACCTAGAAACCTAAAAGAAAAAGGAATGAAAATGGCAATGAAAAATGTATTTGCTTATAAAATTACTTCATCAAATTGTAGTTGATGCATGTCTTCTAACATCTGGCTGCATCTAACATATACAATATTCCAATAGATATTATCAGAGAGAACCTATGAGTTTAAATCAATGGGTGATATTCTTTCTTTTCGTGGAGAGGGGAATTTGAAAACATTTTAGTTTTTTTTT